GCCAGTTTCCCAGGCTAGCACTGAACACGCCATCTTTTTGTTACATCTTGTTACTTTAATTCTGTTTATTTAATAAGAATGTGTTTCGATGGTTCAAATTCCAAAGGCCCACAGATTTTCTGAGGAAGAGTCTGGGTACTCTTAGATCCCCACGCAAAAAAAGGGGTACTAAGACTTATATCCCTCTGTTTGACTCCCTTTCAATCCCTCCCTCCTGGTCAGGCTAAGGAAAGAGATCATCCAGCGTGTGAACCTGGTGGCCACTGACTTCCGAAAGGTGGCCACCAACCAGATGTGGGAGACAACCAGGCGGGCCATCCTAGAGAACAACAATGTGACATTGCAGCTGTCCTGGGTGACTCAGCAAGGTGTGCAGCTGCTTCAGGAGAATGAGCAGCTCAAAGGTATCCAGGATAAACTGTACCAGCAGGTGGAGATGTTGGAGAACACCCAAGAGATCATGGCTAGAAACAGCAGAGGCCATCAGAAGGTGTGAGCACCATGCCCTCCTCGTGTGAAATGAGGGCCGACCCCATGCCAGAGCCAAGTCATGAGGTGCTGGGGTGAGGGATTGCAGTGAGGGCCCAGGCTTTCCTTGTGGGGATGCTGGCCCTAGCTCTGGAATCTGCTTTCAATCCCCCATAACTGAGAGGAGACCAATTCCTGCCTAGCTGTTATCCAGAGGTGGTGCTGGCCTGCCTGTATCTCCAGGAGGGAGGGAGGGAGGAAAGGAAGGAGGGAGAGAGGGAAGGAGGGAGAGGCGGGCTGGGGTCCCACCGTACATCTGTACATGGGCACCTGCCCACGGCTGCAGGTCATCCTCATGCTGACAGAGAAGTGCCGTCAGCAGAGGCAGGACACAAAGGAGGCAGAGCAGCTGCGCCTCCTGCTGTCCCAACTGGAGCAAAACTTCCAGACGCTGCAGAAAGACAACCAGATCCTGAGGTGAGCCAGAGCTGGGTGGAATCAGGTAGAAGCCTGCCAGGGAATTTCCTTGTCCATAGCCTCTATCAGACACGTTGAAGCCTGGATTTAGATGGGCTGCACAGAAAAGGCAGGGCCTGGGAAAGAGGTGGTGCTGGCCAGAGCCAAAAGATGGGGCAAGCTGTGGGTTTTCTCTTGTCTGGACCAGGAGTGAGAAAGACCAGCTGGAGCAGCAGCTGAGCAAACAGCAGGCAGAGGTGAATCAGCTACAAGAGGAGCTGACTGAGGAACAGAAGGTTCGGGGCAGCCTGGAAACAGTCCTGGCCCAGGCCACCTCCCTCCTACAGGACATTATGCAGGTGAACAAGCTTCCAGAGATACCAAGAGGCCAGTGGACAAAGGACAGAAGCTGACCCACGAGGGCCAAGCTTAGAGAGCCTCCTTCCTGACAGGCTCCTGGCCAGACTCCTTTTCTGATTCTGGACCTCAAAGATCCACTCAAGAGTTGGGTCTGATCATACCAGCTACTGAGTAGGCCGAGGCAGGAGAATTACAAATTCAAGATTTGGCTAGGCTACAGATGAAGTTCAAGGCCAGCCAGTTCAAGGCAACTCAGTGTCTTAAAATAACAAGGCCGGAGCCGGGCATTGGTGGCACATGCCTTTAATCCCAGCACTCAGGAGGCAGAGGCAGGCGGATCTCTGTGAGTTTGAGGCCAGCCTGGTCTCCAGATGGAGCAAGTGCCAGGATAGGCTCCAACGCTGCATAGAGAAACCCTGTCTTGAAAAAGCAATAAATAAATAAATAAATAAATAAATAAATAAAATAACAAGGCTGGGAGCCAGGTGTTGGTGGTGCACGCCTTTAATCCCAGCACTCGGGAGGCAGAGGCAGGTGGATCTCTGTGAGATTGAAGCCAGCCTGGCCTACAGAGCGAGTTCCAGGACAGCCTCCAAAGCCACAGAGAAACCCTGTCTCGAAAAATCAAAATAACAATATTAATAATAATTAAAAAAATAAAAAGGCCCGGTGTGGCAGTGCACACCTTTAATTCTAGCACTTGGGGGATGGGTATGTGGGCCACTGGTATTTACCCCATCTCACATCACACCAACAGATGCGAACAGATGCACGGGATGGCGACTTTGACGTTGTGTTCCAACTGCAGCGCAAGGAGCTGCCTCAGCAATTGCTGGCTCTGCTCAGCTCAGCTATGGTTTCAAAACTACATCTGGGTATGGGTTGCCACAAGGACAAGCAGCCCCAGGGCCCACCCAAAGAGAGGTGAGCAGAGCGCCCTCAGCAGATCCTGGCTGTCCAATCTCTCTCAGAACCTCAGCCTCCTCTTGTAGAGATGGAGATGATGACCCTGGGTCCCTTCCCACAGCCGAACCAGTGCCCAGATACCCGGGACAGCGACAGCTTCTCTGCTGCAGCAGCTCTCTGCCATCACAACCTACAAGCCAGGGGATCTAGGGCTGGTGCCTCGCCGGGTCCACATCCCACCCAACCCCCAGGACCTCAGGTCTCTCTCATATGTCAGCCGGATGGGCATCTGCCAGCTACAGAACACTAATGAGGTAGGAGGGCCAGGGACCCTGGGGACAGCAACCTGACAGCTGGCCCAAGTTTTTCTATGCTGGAGAGTTGGATGGCTTCAGGGATATGGTGGGACCTCTCTGACCCACCCTGTAAAATAGCCTGACAAAAACAGGCTAAGGCATACCTATGCTACCCTTGGGAGAGGGTTTCCTAGACCCTTTTGTCCCCACCCCATTGGTAAGGAATGGGTTATGGGGTTAGCGCCCTACCACCACCACCACCAAGGAGGTTTCAGATTTCAAGCAAGCATCTTTTAATCTTGCAGATCTACCCATCTGGTGCTCTCAAAAAATTCAGAAAGTTCAGCCTTCCTAAACCTTTTCTATACCGTAAGTAGCGCACGGAGACCAAGCCACCGCAGAAATAGACTGTTCTGGCCACAGTCCCTCCTTCAATCTGCAAGTGGCCTGGGGCAACCCAGAAGTTAAATAAACAGTGGGTACCAATGTGTCATGGCAGTTGTGTGGCTAGAGCACCCCACAGACACAAAGCCACTGCAGAAATAGACTGTTGTGGCCACAGTCCCTCCTTCAATCTGCAAGTGGCCTGGGGCAACCCAGAAGTTAAATAAACAGTGGGTACCAATGTGTCATGGCAGTTGTGTGGCTGTGTCTGGGCTTCAGGGCACCGGCAGGCAGTCAAACAAGTAGATATGTCCACTGGAGTCATAGGCCCGATGGTGGTTCCTGGCTTCGAGCACGGATGTGGTCCAGAAGCAGGTCGGTGGCCTGATCCAACAATGGGGACAGTAGCTCCTGCTCCTCAGGGGAGAAGTAGCCCAGGACATAGTCGGGCACCATACTAGGGTTTGTGGGGCGCCCGATGCCTACCCGTAGCCTCGGCATTGCCTGTGGGGATACCAGAGGGATGAGGGTGCTTTGGTGAGATACATTTGGGACCCATGCTGGCCACTCACACCCAGGGCAGGGCAAAAAGAGGAAACTCACACTGGAGTTCAGACAGCAAATGCAGGAACGGACTCCGTTGTGGCCCCTTGAAGGGATATGAGCAGTTAGTGCTTCCTGAGGCAGGCCCCTCACTTCCCTTGCCCAGGCTTCCTTCAGAGCAGCCTAGCATATAGAGATGGGCTAGGCAACCCTACTCCACCCCAACAGAGGCCAGCATCCCTACCCAAATGTGAGCACACGTGAGCCTCACCTTGCACTGCCCCCCAGCTTCAGAGACAGCTTTCCCAGGGGCTTGTCAAGTTCATCGTGCACCAGATAGATCTCCTCCGCAGTCAGCCCAAACAGCTTTGCTAGGCACAGGGAAACACCCTAGTTACCATCTATCTGCTCAGAGGGATCACAAAGACCCCCATATCCAAACAGGCTCTCAGCCAGGCGGTGGTCACACACGCCTTTACTCCCAGCACTCAAGGGCAGAGGCAGGCAGATCTCTGTGAGTTTGAGGCCAGCCTGGTCTACAGAGTTCCAGGAAGCCAGGACTGTTTCAAAGAAAAACCATGTCAAAAAAACAAAGAAAAGAAAAGAAAAAGCAACAGGCTCCTAAGTCCACAATGTAGTAACTGGGACTCACCAGCTGAAACCCTTCTCTGGTCCCTGTGCCCTCTTAGCTATGAAGCCCACAACTCACCAGCTTGGGCCACACTGCGCCCGTTGACGTTCATGAGGCGTCGTGGCCGGAGCAGTACCAGCTGGGCATCCCCAAGCGGGGCCAGGGCGAGGTCCGCAGCGCAGCGAGGATCACGAGCCCAGCTCTCCGCCACTCCCAGTCGCCGCGCTATTTGCCCGAGCACTGCCATGCCCACGCTGTGCCGTGTGCCAGGCATTCCATGGTTCCCCAGGCCAGCCACCTGCAGGCAACACCACAGAAAACAAACCGGATAATATATCACAGAGAACCCAACACAGTGCTCAGGCAACGGAGAGGGGAGCTTAAAGGGCTGGGGACTCCAGGAGGCCCCGCAAAGCTAGGGGTGCTGCACCCTGATGCAGGAGCAGAAAGAACCCCTAAGTCAGGAGCCGGTCAACTACTTAGCTAAGCAGAAAAGCTGACAAGGAGCCCGGAGTGACGGCTCAGAAAG